CATCGGAACCTATAACTGGATCCTGTCAAACAAACGACAGCAAAAAAATATAACAGCTGCCACGAAGTCAAGTTGAGAGATAAAGTTTTTGAGGCTAAGGACCTTCTCAGAAGTGGACTAGAGGTCTTTCTTAAATCTTAAGCGCGGCTATGGGTCCCAGGGTATCTTTCAGGCACTAAGTCAACTATGTAACTTGTGTTTCGTTCTTGTCATAGCACTTCTGTGTTTCAGAAAAAAGACAGAAATGAAAACCATCTTGTGGATTAGTCTCTGCTGAGGCATTCAGAAAACTAGCCCATGTCTCAAATCACCAAAAAAGTGGAAGTCATGGGACCAGTCAAAAAAAAAAAAATGTGGTAAGGCTGGCAAGATGGCTCTGTAGGTGACAGTGCTTGCTGTCAAGTCTAACCAATTGAGTTCAATCCCTAGGACCCACTCTCTCAAGTTGTCGCCGGACCTCCACACTCACACTGTGGCATTGTGTGCACAAACATACACACACACACACATACATACACACACACACACAGAAAATGAAACCGTTTTTAAAATTGTAAAAGACATAATGTAAAATTTACCATCTTAACTATTTTAAGTGTGTAGTTCAACACTGTGAAGTATGTTCAGATTGTTGTGTTAGGATCTCTTTGTATCCTCTAAATGTGCTAAACAGTTTGGGGGGTCTATTACCAAGACTAGGAATACTGAAGAAAAATGAGCTACCACAGCATATTCAAAATAGTTAATCCCAACTCCAATTAAATGAATTTTTAAAAGTCAATATTGTTCCTTCAAAAACAAATTTACTTGTTATAAAATACATTTATGGTAAAATTATGCTCATTAATTTATTAAACTCCATTGCTATATAAAAGATATTTTTAAAAAGCTTCTTGTTTGTTTTTTAAATTTAATAGAGGTCTTTTTAGGTTCCACACATAATTATCCTTCCATTGCACCCATAATGGGTTAAGATACTAGCTTCGTCATTAAGGCAAAGTTAAACTTTTCCTGATCCTCCTTATAGGAGGTCAACACCTGACAAAAATGTGTTTATTGCTCAGGGTCTATTGTATCATTGAAGCACACATCTTCCATGCTTTTCTATGGGTTATTCTGTCTTGCTATAGCACTCCTGTATACTGGAAGCACTCAGCACATTTGCGCTAGCACACACATCATATGGTGTCCGCTTGTTTAGTGTCTATCTCATATATATTAGTTTATAGCATAAAGGATGACACACAGAACAGCTATTCAATAACTGCCCATTGCCTGGATGTGGCTTAATCTGACTACTTCTTCATTTGCCAACACCCAATACCATGGAAACTTCAGAAATGGCTGTCTGTCCATTACATGTTATGACCTAAGTTCTTGCTAGTTATCACATCAGTTTGGACTATATTTTAGTTGAAATCTCTGGGATTCTTGCCTCTCACTGATATAGCTGATCCTCTTATGCATTTATTTTTATGCAATTATTGTGTATGTGTGTGTGTGTGTGTGTGTGTGTGTGTGTGTGTGTGTGTGTGTGTGCATATGTGTGCATGTGCATGCCATGGTGAATACGTGGAGGCCAGAAGACACCATGCAGGAATCAGTTCTCTCCTTCCCCAGTGTGTGCTCTGGGGAACAAACTCAAGTGGTCAGGCTTTGCATCAACTGCCTATACCTACTGAGCCATCTTGTTGACCATCACTGTCCCTATTTTAAGTAAGCAATCTGCCCCATGTACAAGGTCATTACAAACTACACAATGTGTTCTACAAAGCAGCAAAACAGACTTGTCTGCTCCTCCCCACATACCATCATATTTCTCAGTGCCTCATGTACTCATGTATATGCTAGTTCCTCCAAACCTTAGGCAAAATGTCAGATGACATAAGCTTTTGGCAATTTTATCAAGGGTATTAATGAAACAGTTGCTGGATATCAATATCAATTCAATATGTTTCTTTGCAAGAACAAACTCAAGTTGGGAAGTTCGTTGGCCAGTTAGGGTATCTCATATAGTGCCTTGAAGTGTGCAGACAGGGCAGGAAGAAGGAGCCACTTGGAGAGCTGTGCAGAGGAGTGCTCCTCAGACACCACCCTCCGAATTCCATGAATATTTTCAAGGCTGCACAGACGATGTGAGAAGTCACAGAAGTTGCTGTTCTCCTAGTAACTGGGGAGGGGAAGAGGGCTCCCTGAGGGAGGGTAAAGTGGAGTAAAGGGAACCAAGTTGAGATAAGGAAATCTACTGAAAAAGTTATTTGCCAAATTGGTTTACATTTGCCTTACTTAACCATCTTCTTCTAAATTATGCCCAAAAGATGCCAAAAATTTAAATGTAACTAATGCCACTAACTGAAGATGAATAACGAACACAGTTCATGTCAATCACTGGGTAGAAATTCCTGGGAAATCAAAGAAGCCTGAGCATGGGTCCACAAGATTAAACAGCAAGAAAACAGAGTGAATGAATCAGCACTGTGTCTTCCTTAAGATCTTTCGTTTTTATCAAATACATAAGAAGCACTTAATACAGCTGTAGTTTAGTAGATGACTTTTTAAAGGAGGAGAACAAGGAAGAACAACAGGGAAGGGACCAAACCCCTGCACAGTCCTGTTGTGAGCATGGAGGCCGTTTCCCTGACTGTGAGAGAGAGCACACAGCTTTCATTAAGGAGGCCTTTCCCAGAACTGGCTCGTAAGCATTTCCCATGACTCCGCAGTTGAGTATCTTGGCTGGAGGAGAATCTGGCCATTAGAAGGAGCACTCTAGATACGCGAGTCCCAGTCGTGCCCAAAGAGCCTTGGCACTTTGCTGTACTGCTTCCTAATACTAACCCTGCGTCAAATGTCATCAGAAGCTTGCATAAACATTGGACTTAGATTCACATAAATTATTTCCATCCTGAAGTGCTGCATGCCAGAATTTAGAAAAAAACAATACTTAGAGTAAACAGAAATGGTGTATAAATGTAAGACTATTAATCCAACAAAATGATCATATAAAAATATAATCAAGAGTATACACTTGTAAATCTTGCAATGATGTGAGACATTTATCTGTGCTTCTGAGTTTTTATTGAACATGTCCATAGAGTTCCTTTAAGCTAGCACTGCAAAATTGCTTTGAATTGTCAGTTGCTTTGCAGAACTGTAAAATGTCTTTGAGTATCATTAGAATGCTCAGGCATTATTTAAATAATCGTATGTGTGATTCACGCCTGTTTAGTGCTGGATCTACAAATTTATTTTAAGAGTAAACATTGGGGCAATAAAATAGAATGCTATCATGATTTTTCTTGTCAGCAGAAATATCTTACTTTATTAAAAATTATCAGGAAAATACCATGTACAAAAGATAAAATTCTTATTTATAGATATTTCGGATTCTACTGTATTATGGTGAGTGCACATTGCAAGGTTACACTGAGAAGGGGTGTTCATTTTGTCTAAGGTAGATTCATAAACTGGGAGATAGAAGCTCTTCTCCCTTTGTGCATACATCTTACTATGTACCACCTCCCCCTACGGCCTACTTGGATTTCTGCTCTAATATAATAGTGCTAACACCATTGGTATTCAGTATTTAGAAGAGAATGAAGATTTCTTGGACATGATGACAATTCAGCTATTGAAAGCACTGACATTAGAATATTCTCAGTGATCCATTCTGGCCTTAAGTATTTATTAAGTAATATTTACTCCTAAGATATATACCTATAAAACTGAATGAAATTGCAAACATGCGATAAACACATTTCTCTCTGCATTCCAACTGGCCTCCTTCCTCACAGGCACCTCTGGCGCTTATCAAGCTGTTCCTGCTTCCTGCTCTCTCTGCCCCCTCAGCTCCCTTCTGTGGGACATGTCGATGTGCTTCTCCCACAGTCACTGTCTTTATCCACATCCCCTACCCACCCTAACCCCTCTTGTTATTTTTCTCATTCCCTACTGATGTGGGAATAATGGGATCCCAAGGCTGTCCTTACAGTATAATTAAAGTATGAATTTCTAGGAGTTAGAAATTGCACACCATTTTTATTATGTTTCTATAATAAAGCCAGGTATCACAGAGAATTAAAATTGCTTTTTCTGAGCAGATTACTTGGTGATGATTTTTTCCCTTTGGTTGTGTTGTTTTAAGAGAATTGGAGTTGGAAATGAGAATAGGTTCATCCATTCTTTTTTTTTTTTCCTGAAAACACCTCTATCTTTCATGTGATATATATCCCCCTAGATCCTGGGAACATGTTGTAAACTTGTAACAGATGGTGATGAAGCTTCACATTTTTATACAATACATTTTTTAAGATTCTGCATTTACTGCGTGCATCTTCCAGGAAAAATGACCTTGAATGAATGAAGTCATAGTTCGAAGGAAAAACACTCCTCAGATAAACTAGCATAGAAATGATGAGTCAATTGGGTTTTGTTTTGTTCTCCTCAGTAAGAAGAAATAATTTCAGATGAAAAACAGAATTCTGAAACAGGAATCAAAGGTCATCTTAACACTGGAGGTGTATCGTTAATTGTTCTAGGAAACCCACTTAGTCTGTACTGAACAGAACTACATGGAAGATGGGGTATCACTGTCTGTGAGTAGAAATGCTGTTTACTTCACTTGGGTGATGCTGGGGGCTTACCAAAAATTGTTCTGGCATATCTACCAGCACGAATGTTAGGAGGGTTCTAACACGGAGTGCTGATATTTTATGAATGTTTTATCACTGGCTTGGAAACAAGAAGTTTGCAATTGAATCAACAGTATGTCAGACAGACAAAATATTAAAAAATAAAACCCAGAACATTAGCGAGAATTACTAATGTTCCTATTGTAAAAACAAACTGAAGTTAATAAGAAACTTGATCCTCTTAACTGATTAACAAAAGTCAAGTTTTAATTGCATGGCTTTCCAGAGAAATCAAGTGTTACTACGGACTCAAGCACAAGTTGTTCAGAGGACCCAGCAAGGAAGGCAACTGATGCATATTCAGTAACCCACCTCTTTTTTCGACAGCTTCAATGCATTGCTTTACAAACCATGGAACTGTGGAATTTTCTCGTTCACACACTGTGTGCAGATGAGAGCCAAAAATTTGATCTGCAAAAGAAACAAAGATGAGCTTCATTAAAATCCAAGCTTGCGTTGTTCTTTAATTTGATTCTGTTTCCATATCCAACAACGCATGCTGAAATCTTCATCTTGCATAGGAATTGATTTTTGTGCTTTAATTTCAAAGTGTCTATGGCAGACACACAAAGAGTGTACACCCATTCTTTATAGAACAGGACCCTGGCCTCAGAGTGAGACAAGTAACACTGCCATTGATTAGGCATCAAGGAGGAGTAAGTTAGTCTCTGGGCCTGAACTTCTTCGTCATCTATAAAATAATGATATGGAACTAAGGTAGCCTTCATAGAATAATTAAGCATATTGTTCTGGGTATCCTGTGTACTTTAGAAGTTATCAGCAGTTAACAAGATTACAGTTTTGTCAGTGTATTTAAGACATTCACCCTGCAGCTGAGAGGTATTTGATGGAGGATGTTGCAGGGAGGTACTTAGAAGTGACTTGCCTTGAATGCCCATCCTCTTGTCAATCTTAAGTATTGCCTTTCTGACCAGTCCCAACCTGGAACCTTGCTATGTCAGCCTGATGTCTCCAGTGACATGCATTCTTTGGTATAGCAGTTTCTCGGGGTATTTGTGGGTGCTTCTGGAAAGTCCTTGTGATCAAAATGGCTTAGTAACTTAAACTTAATCAGAGCCAAACAGATTTTAAGAAGCTCATTTAAGTGAGTTGTATATTTTTTAGAGCCCACGACATGCATGTGTGAATTTCTCTAGTTGGTGGAGGAGGCATTATTCTTCACACTCATTTTGGTAAAATCTTTTTATTTCAGAAGACTTCTCTCTGGACTAATGCTCTGAGAGTGTGCTGGGAGATCCTGGCCATTCCCTCTCATTTAGAACAAGTCTGATGCTCCCTTGCACAGCATCTTTGCATTTGTGATTGTGGTTTGGATTTAAAATGTCTTCTGAAGACCCATTTATTGAAGGTTTCACTTCCCAGCTGGCAGCATTACTGAGAGGTGATTGAATCATAAGGGCTTTGATCCAGTCAAAGGATTAATCCATTGATGGATGCAAATTGGATGGAATTATTGGGAGGTGGTGGAAACTAGAAATTGGGGCCTGGTTGGAGGAAATCAGATGCTGGGGGCATACCTTGGGTGAGGCAATCTTCTTCCTGGCCCCTGTCTGCTTCTCTTTTTGCTTTGCCACATGCCCCTGCTACTGTGGCACATGTCCCCCTGTCACAAACTGCTGTCTTCCCACAGAACCGAAGCAGTGGATCCTGCTGACTCTGTCCTGAAACCAAACACTAAAAGAGCACTTTCCTTTCTTAGTTGGCTTTCTCAGGTGTTTTGCTCCATTTAGAATGTACTTTCTCATAGCTGATTAGGAGTGTTTGAAATATCTGTGTCATTTCATAGTTACCAATGCTCAGTTACTATTGTGGCCCATAGTAGATACTCATAGACTAAATTTTTAAAATTATTTATTGTTTTTATTTTATGTGTATGAGTGTTATGCCTGCATGTAGGTAAGTACACCCATGTTGTGCAATGCTCACAGAGGACAGAAGAGGCTGTTGGATCCCCTGGAACTGGAGTTACAGACAGTTGTTAGCTGCCATGTGGGTGCTGGGATTTGAACCCGGGTCTTCTGTAAGAACTGTCAGTGTTCTTAACCACTGAGCCATCTCTCCGGCCCCCATAGACTAATTTTTAAATAATGATTAAACATGCACAGTATAAACTGCATTGTTTTTGCCTTAAGTGTATGTGCAATCTATTCCCAATATTGTGGAACCATCACCATCAATCACTTCAAGAACTTATTGCAGTAGCATTGATATTTATTACTAACATTCAGATTACTATGTGGTGAATCCAAGGGCATTCCATTTTGATCAGAATGAGTCAGAGTCCCTCTTGTGAGTTCCCATGCTGTATGGGATCTGCATTCCACTAACTGTTTTCCTTTGGGCCCTCTCTGCCTCTCTGGAAACTTGTCAGTAGTCCCATTGGCCAAATGTCTGTTTCTAATCCCCGAGCACTTTGCCCCAGGGGTTGTGTTCCTGTTATATCATCTGGGTGGTCTTTGGTCAAATTGTACCTTCTTACCATAGTCTTTACTAGCCACCTTCAAAAATGGGTGCCACTCAACTCCATTTTACACACCAGCTTCTCTGCCTTCTTTTTTCTTGGGACACACTTAACTACACTTGGCAGGTTAGACGAATGTTCACTGAGTAGTTTGTTTACCTTGCTTAGAATGCAAGCCCAGAAGAGTCAGGACCATACATTTACTATGGCCTCCAGGATGCAGATGATGTTTGGCACATACTCAAGTTCAATAAGCATGTTTTGAATGACCAGCTGCAAGGCATTATCTTAAACATCAGTAGAGGTAATGTAGAAAATTTTAAAACAGAAAGAAAATAACAGAATGCCAAGTGGCATATTATAAAGCATACTGAAGATGGCATATGCTGAAAGTTCAAGAAAGTTGGAATTTTCAACCATTACTTACAAAATGCACTGGTGTGAGTTGGTAGCAACTTAGAATGGAGAGACTCAAATAAGGTAATGCATGGCTACTAACAGCGATACTAAAATATGCATGCTTGTATGAGAAACAGAAAGAAGGTAGATGGAAAACCCAGATAGTATAAAGGAATGGGGAATAACTGTACATGATTTGAATACTTGATGAAGTAGTGGTTTTTTTTTTTTTCCCAAACAGTGAGCATCCCTATAATAAGAGAGACATAAGTACTATCTAAGAAAAAAATATCTAGAATTTCAGGTCAAATAATTTAAGTATTAGTCAGGAAGGATTTCTATAAAGTACAAATTTATTGGTGGTCTTTATATTTTAAGTCGGTTTCACAAATGTTTATTGACTTTTCTATCTTCACAATAATGAAGTAGGCATTTTAAGTTGTAAAAATGACACCAAGGTTTTTCTAATATTGTAGCAGGCATCATAAAAGGTACTGAATGCTAAGAAAGATGTGCTTTGGTGTAGGTGTAATGTCTTGTCATGCCTTTTAGTACAGATATGATGCATTTGAGTGTGTGTGTTTGAGGGGGGGGAGGGATTGCTTTGCAAAACAGAGGTCATTCAAGGAAAACTGGTGTTGTTGTGAAGTGAGCGTTTGATTGTGAACAAAGCTTGTTTCTGTTTTACTTTTTTATATGTGGCTCCGAGAGAGAGGGAAGGACATTTTAGGGCATTTCCTCTTTAATTCAGTCAGGTATCTATGAAAGACAATCCTCAGTGCCTACAATATGGTAATCACAGAGTCTGTGAGCATGGTAAGATACTGCCCAGATCCCTCTCCATCCTCTAAAAACATCCTGTCTAGTGGAAACAGCAGGTTAGGAAATGGGAAGAATATTCTGTCTTGAAATACCTCGTGCCTGGTGAAGCATTGTGGGAACACGGCAGGGGGCACAATAGACCAGTCTTGAACACCATGGAAGTCTTTCCAGAGAAGAGCCAGGTCTCATGGCAAGTAGGCCTGGGGCTGAATGGCAATAAAGGGACAAGGGCCTTTGGAGAGATGGAGGAGACTATGCACCAGTGCGGGGGGAAGGGCAATGGCAAGACTGATGTGCTGCACTAGGACGCGCTCATCACCTGTTGAGATCTTGATGAATTCAGCGTGAAAAGGAGATGAAGACTCTATTTTCAAATGTTTTTGTATTATGTTATTTGACAGATAATATTAATCTCCTGTAAATAAGTACTTCTTTGACAAGTTCCTTGTTTTTTAAAATGTACTCAGGTCAGCCAAATGCTGCCTCAGGTACAGGTGCTTGCTATCAAACAACCCAAATTCAGTCCTTGGGATCCACATGGTGGAAAAAGGGAACGACTCCTGAAAATTGTCCTCTGATTTCTACATGCCCACCATGGCATGCAGGCATCCATAGCAGCACACATTCAGGCACACATGAAATAAATAAATGTAAATATAATAGAATCCATAAGACAGAAGTTAAGAATGATCTCTGCTGCCCTCTACCTCCCTGCATCTCTGGGTGCTTGGATGGTCTGGACCAGAAAACACAAAGACAATGACTTGGGCTACTATAGGAGAGTTTTCTTTTTTCCTTACATAAGGAAAATAGATAAAGGGACATTTTCTTTTTATTTTTCTCACTTTGAACATCATCTTGCAATTATACTTGGTGCTACTGTAGCAATCTTGTCATCATGAGACAAGTTGAGAAGGAAGGCTAACTTGCTTTAAAAAGAAAGCAATGAAAACACTTTAAAAAACCCCAAATATAAAAATTCCTTTATCCTAAAACACTTTCTCTAGATTTCTTACACATGAACCATTGTTTTAAACAGGATATTCTGTTACTTGCAGCCAAAGACATCATAGCCAATATGGTGTGACATTAACAGGTTTTCGTGCTGTCTGAGTAAAGTGTTATTATTATCATAGTTGTATTTGAAGAAAAGGCTTGGTAGTACTTTATTAAGAACATGGAAGGCACAAAGAGTGAAGATTAGATACCAGAAGATTAGTTAAGCAGCCAATGCAGTGATTAGGAAAGATACTGTGACTACCACATCAGAACAAAGGTATAGATTTAGTATTGTTAATGATTCTCATCTTCTGACTTAGACTGTGTATATATATCCTTTGCCACGTGACTATAGAGTTCCATTTTCAGAGTGGGACACATGGGTTTCCCCATATCCTTCCATACTAGGCTTGAACTGCAATTAGCTTGTGATGCAGTGTGAATGGAAAAGTGACAATGCAGCTTGACCGAAACCTGAAAAAGCACGGCAGATTTCCACTCCTCCTCCTGCTTCTTTGCTGTCCAAAGAAGACTGTCCCTGTCCAGATACTGTCCTATCAGCCTGGGCTCCAGGATAAACACACATGGCCAGAACTAAGGCCAACATGCCCAAGTATTCTGTACCTTAAAGCAGAGTCACACAGCAAAGACAGCCGTAGGTCAAACCAGCCCTTGTCACATACCATAGAAATAGGTGCTCTTATGTCAC